TTTACTTTTCTATAAAGAGAAAAAAAAGTTTTTAATTCAGTTTCTCGAGGCTGAAAAGTTCAATACTGCTCTATTAACAATAGGACATGACATGATCATGGCTAATAAATGGTCAAATTTTAACAGAAGAATGTTGATAAGTTTTTAGAATAGAGCTTTTTTTAACATGTTTCCTAAGTATTTCTGAACTAAAACCAGGGACTAAACGGGACTAAGTACATTACCAAACAAACAGAAAAGAAGTACATACAGTAGAAGAGCAATTGTAGTTTTCAACTCAGTTAAAATGTGGGAACGACTTACCTTTAGTTTACAAGCATGTGTGGAAGACTCCAATTTTAGGTAATTTTTGTACAAAGTAATCTTTTCATGTTCACTAAAAATAAAAGAGTTAGTTTATTAAAAATTTCATAATTATCACTTTTAACAGTTACATTTAAAAATAAAGCTTTCCAGGGCAACATTCAGCTCCTTAGATTCAGTCTTCCTGGTGAGGCAAAAAGAGTTGGGGCTTCCTTCCGAATTGCACTCAGTATAAAGATGGCATCTGCCACTTACTAGCTATAAAGGAGAATTAAATTAGATATCAAATGTATAATCACGTAGCACAGAGCATGTTTCAAAGCTCAGTAACTTGTCTGTTATATTCAACATGCACAGGCTATGAAACAGTTCATATTTTGATTCATATTAAAAAAAGATTAAGACAGAATCATCGCAAGAAATCAGAAAAAAAAATCAGAAAGTCTAATAATGGGTTAAATGTGCCTGTATGGTGCAGTCTGGGCTCATGCGGTATTTGTATGGGTTTCCTACAAGAAAATGTTCAAAGTTCCAGACTGACTGACAAATTCATTTTTGGAAAACAGATCCCTGTGAGTTAAACAAAACAGACTAGAAACATTTATCAGCACTTTATACCAGCAAAACTCTTCCACTAACTAGGTATGACCGTCTACCAACTTTTCTCTCTTCCATTAGCTCTCAATTTCTATATTTATAAAAACAACCAGGCTCATCCAGACTGTCTTTAAGATTCCTAAAGGTCTAAACCTCTATGTCCGTTGGTATGTTTTTATCTACT